ACCTTGACGGCTAATTATTGCCAGTGAAATGTTTTGCCTATAGGGTGGCACTGAATTGCAGTTGTTGCCGATATAGAGATTGGAGAGAATTACCGCCAATTGCATGACTTCACAGGAAACTATTTAGCAAAGATAATGTTTCCGGATTGTTGAGATTAAAACATCTCAAAGACTACATAAACAGTACACTTTCAAGACTTGTTTATTGTCATGGACAAACATTTGTGTGCTTATTTCTTTAAAGCCATCACATTAAACATACAAATGGACTCAATAAACGACAGTTGCACTCATGACAATGTCTTTAAAGTTAATAAATTAAGCCACAAATGTCACTGATTGGCTTTACTACTTTATGTAGTAAGTATACAAATATCAGTGTACTAGTAGTATACTTGTAAGTGTACTATTTCAATACTCCTTGGGACTGAATTATAATTAAGTATACTTTAAGTATAACAGTAGTAAACTTTGAATACACAAATAGTTTACAATATTTTTAGCTTGTACTGCAACTATACTAAAAGTGAACTTATATGAATACTGATAGTTTTCTAATTAAATACTTGTAGTAGCATTTTTAGTACACTTTGAAGTATAGTCTCAGTAAACTACTAGTTTAGTAGTTTTATACTGCAAGTATACTCGTAAGTTTTCTTTAAGTGAACTTTACATCATACTTTAAGTATACTACTATGTCCCTATTTAGGTATTAATTTGAATATATTTTGATATATAAATATCTGAACATACAAAACACCAAAAGAAAGAACAGGGTATCTGCTTGTAAACAAAAACATTTTATTCTAGCTTCATGCATTCTTTCTTTAAACACTTGAATGTGGGTAAGTTTCATAAAAAAAAAGAAAAAAGAAATAAACAACATTTTGAACAAAAAATTTTTAGTTTAAAAGAAGTATACTAATAGCACACTTGAATAAACTTCTTTTTCGTAAGGGTTGTAATCAAACACACACAACCCTTAGATATCCATGCATGTGTGAGTTCACGTTCTCCCACACACATGCAAACACGTCACTTTATATTTCATCGTTACTGTGAGTTCCATGTGTTTGAGGAGACTGAATGTCTGAGCAACATCAGAAGGACTGAATGTATTAGAAATGTCAGGATGCATGTGCTTCCTGTACATCTGTGCGTCACTTGTGCTGGCGTCATATGTTTACAACAAAGAGATTCTGAATGAGATTCAGAAAACAAAGAGATCCGAGCTACACAGGTTAGAGTAAAAGGTTAAGATTTGATTTGGTTATATATACTATTTTGGCATTAGGATTGCAAAAAAGTATATGTAAGAGCATAGATGTCTTTAGAGTAATACAGAATAAATATAACACATTTACCTTATCTAACAGCTATTTAATTTGTCCATTTTAAAAATGTACAAATTTACTTATAAAAAAAATCAACAGTAAAATTGGTATCAGAATTAGCTGAAGAAACAACAGAAGCTGAATTCTCCCTGGAAAAGTAGTAAATTAAATAAAATATATTTTAATTAGGGCTGTTAATTATTTATTGATTGATTTGGTTACATGAAATTGCAATTGATTACATATTTTGTTTAATTAAAAATTAAGATAATTCACTGGTATTATGTAGGCAGATGAATGTGATGAATTACTACCATTACTTGATATGATGTATTCACCTATCAATTGTTTTAAATCTAAAAATGCACTAAATGTTCCAGTTTCTGGTTTAATTTTTATTGCTCAGTGAATCACTGAATATGGCTTGCTCTATAATTCATTATAACTAATGGAATGTGATGCATAATTAATTTGATAGCTCGAGTCTGCCAATACCTTTATTAAAGAAGCCTCAGCTAAAGTCAAGAGTCAGGAATCGCTCAGAAAGTGATCTTTTAAATAAAAAAAAAGATCTCTCTATAACTTGGATTATGCTTCCAGCTAAATTATTATTATTATTATTATTACATTTTAAAACTACTACTAATTTAATTTCATGATGTGGGAAAAAAAAGGAAAATGCATTAGGACACCTATTCTTCCCCAAGTTTCCAAATGCAAACATACTTACAATAATCCTTCCTCTTGCTTACTTCATAGGCTACTTATAGAGTAACACATCTAGGGAAAAACAATCATTAGGGAATAATCAGAGAAACAATCACACTCAATTATAAATGTAACTATATTTTTTGTTCTATGATAATGCAATTGTCTTTGGATTTTTTTTTTTCATCCTGTTGCTGTAGAGTCACACTGCCCTCTTGTGTATCGCAGTAAAAACACCTCAGATCTGAGTATCAAGCATGAAGTAAAATTACATTTTACTATTGGAATACATTTAGAATAGAGATGATAATATTTTCATAAACATGCACTTCAGCATGTTTAACCTAGTGTGATGGGGAAAAAATCTTTGTAAACTGTACATAAGCAGTAAAGTAAGACATAAAACAGATGGCCGTTTCAAACAAACATCACAAGTGGATGTGCTCTCCAGAGGATAGACGTTCTGGGACTAATCTAATATTTTGTTCCTACTGAAACATTTTGGAATCTGCAAGGATCCAATATAACAAAATAAATCATGTATTTTCCAAGTCTACAGACTTATAGGCAACCTCCTCTATGGTTTTTATAATTAGCTATAAATTAAACAAATTTTTGGGTTGTCCTTATTAAGATATCTCAGTAAACGTGTGTGTGTGTGTGTGTGTGTGTGTACTTTATGCTACATTGTGGGGACCAAATGCCCCCACAAGGACAGTAAAACCTGAATCTTTTTGACATTGTGGGGCCTGGCCTGCGGTCCCCACGAGGGAAATCAATTATTAAAAATAGTAAATGATGTTTATCTGAAAGTGAACAATGTAAACAGGGTTTCTGTAAGGGGTAGGTTTAGGGTTAAAGGATAGAAAATATAGTTTGGTCAGTATTAAAGTAATAGAAGTCTATGGAAAGTCCCCACAATTCACAGATACAAACATTTGTGTGTGTGTGTGTGTGTGTGTGTGTGTGTGTGTGTGTGTTCTGGATCTTCTCTCTGGGTCATTCATTGCAGACTGGCTCCATTGTGTAGTCCGTGTTATGAGCACTCGCAGCGGCTTGATAACCGTGTCTCCATGAAAAAAAGGAGGGTCAGCAGAGAAGAATGCTGAAGTGTTTCCTCCTCCCCCTTCAGAAGTCTTCCCAGACCTCCCCTGTGCGATCAGCTGACCATTGGGACGTCTGCTAAGACTGAGGGGAACTGAGTCCTTTTTAGGTTAAAGTCTTATTTATCAAGTCCGAGAGGATAATAACACAAAACAGTATGACGACAGGTCAGAATTTGTGTGTGTGTGTGTGTGTGTGTGTGTGTGTGTGTGTGTGTGTGCGTGCACGTTATATTATCAGCATTCTGCATTCTGAGCGCTGTGAATGGAATGTGACTATTCAATCTCCAAATAAAACCAGTATCACTCTGGACAGATGGTGATTAAATGCGTTTATCTTTATTCCAGATCAAGGTTATGAGAAAACAAGCACATTAACCAAGACAAAATCTCAGTCTCTGTTGGATGTATGTTTCAGACATTTTCTCTATTCGTTAAAATATATATGAGTAAAAACATTCAATTTGAATTCACAGTGTTGCTATTATGAATATGCTTCATTAAAATATCTACATTTAAATGTAAATATCCATATGCCTGTATATGTCAAGTTTACCTTTCAGATGAATCTCCTTTACTGGGATTCTGCTTTGTCTGGAAACACAGTTTTAAACAGAATAGTTAATTTAACCATTAATTAAGTAAACTAATATAATAGTTAATTTACTATTGTAGTTAATGGGGGCATCTTAGCCTGTGTGTGTCTGTTTTCTTAATCAATCAGAGGTCTAAAGTATATATATAACTTGAATTTTTTTTTAGCAAAAAGAAGAGTCAGGATATACAGCTAGAAACCATGTAAAATTACATTTGCAGAGACATAGGGTGAATCTCAGTAAATTCAGTCACACTTGACAGTCATCTCAATGTCAAAAAGCAGCCCAAATGACCTGAGTTCACCCACCAGATGTAATAACCTCTCAGCATTTCAGCAACCTGTTCAAAGAGCATGAAGTACATCTCATTCAGTCTGTAAACATGGTTACGGTCAGAAATTAAGCAATATTTTTAAAAAAGATAGTTGACTGGATTTGCACAGCAGTTAGATTCTGATCTCCCCCATTTCCTCTATTCACATGTCTTTTCCTGCCCAGCACTGGTTTTCCGTACATAAATCGGAAATGGCCACTGAGTGTAGGCTATGTGTGTGCGTGTCTGTTATCTTAATCAGTCGGAGGTCTAGTCCCAAAAGAATAAGCAAATATGCACTCCTGTTTTTCTAGGACATTCTGGTATTCTGTATTCATGTATGGAGCAGCACAAACAAAATCAGATCATAAATTCCTTCAAATACATTTTTGATCTGATTTAAACACAACAGTCAGACTAACTAAAACATGATGGTAGAACAGGTCAGGAAATTATGTAATGAATTAAGAAGCAACATTCTATCTATCTATCTATCTATCTATCTATCTATCTTGTAGGCTATGTGTGTGCGTGTCTGTTATCTTAATCAGTCGGAGGTCTAGTCCCAAAAGAATAAGCAAATATGCACTCCTGTTTTTCTAGGACATTCTGGTATTCTGTATTCATGTATGGAGCAGCACAAACAAAATCAGATCATAAATTCCTTCAAATACATTTTTGATCTGATTTAAACACAACAGTCAGACTAACTAAAACATGATGGTAGAACAGGTCAGGAAATTATGTAATGAATTAAGAAGCAACATTCTATCTATCTATCTATCTATCTATCTATCTATCTATCTATCTATCAAGCATATTAACCACACAGACATAGGCTATCTGTGGGACAGTCAGACACAACGTCTGGGTTTTATAACAGCAGCACTGGGACGCAGGGCTCGTGATGTCATCACATTGTAACGCACATCCTCGCTCGCGCCACACCGCAAGAGCAATGCAGAAGGAGCAGTTACAGTTCACACCGCGACTCAATACTTGACGCGCCAGTTTGATCCTCAAAACAACCGCTTCTGTTTGTTTTTGTTTGTTTTGTTTGTTTGTTTTTCTTTCGAACTAAAATTCAACTTCGAACTTTTTGTTTTAGAAACAAGGAACAGAAACAGACCTTGTTATGGAAATCAAAACGATCCTGTTTTTAATTCTGAATGCCCGCACATGCACTGCCATCTTTAACGGTAAGTTTATTCATTCGTGAAGAAACTGAGATTATGATTTTCAAAGGCGATGTGACTGCTGGTATTTTTCCATGCTGCGCTTAACTTAGAATGACTGCAGGAAGGAGTTGAAGAAAGAAACTTTTTATCTTTTTTATTATTGTTAGGCTACTTATTATTGTGTGTTACGCTCTCTTTTTCTCTAAATAAATAAAAACAACATATAAAGAAATTAGTCCTTCTCTTCAACAATGCAGCAATTAATTATTAAAAGTGCGATAAAAATTGTAATAGCCTACTGTAAAAGTATTATTTCTGTTTGAAATAAATGTTGTTAATTTTTATCCATCGATTATCGATCCTGTGTTTTCCCAGATATGGAAACCACTCAGTCAGATTGCCAATCTATCACAAGTCTAATTTTAGATAGATAGATAGATAGATAGATAGATAGCCTACATAAATACATAAAGTCCCTGCTATACTTCAGAATATTAATAAAACTAAGAAAATTATTAAGAAAAAAAAAACATATGAAAAATGACCAGCTAAGTGTCACGGTTCGCTGCCGGAAGGAACGCAGGAGACGCGGAGAAGCATTAAACAGTCTTTTAATGATCAGACACAGGAGTAAATCCACAACGGGAAGGGAGAATGACACGCGAACATCACTTGTAGACCCGACAAACGAGGAATGCACAGACAGGAACTCTTATACATGACATAACAAGGGAATTGGGAGGAATACAGGTGCACAGCATTACTAATTAGACACGGGAGGAACTGGGTCACGGAGCACATGGGGAGGGAAAACACACACACAACAGTCCAAGGGTGTGACATTACTCCCCCCTCCCGGAAGGCGTGTCCCACGCCATAACAATACCACCGGGGGGTGGGCGCCCTGGAGGCTGCTGCAGTTCAGGAACAGGGCGGATCAGGGAGTTCGAGGCACCGTGGCAGAGCAGGCAGACTAGGAAGCCATGGCGGAGCAGGCGAGAAGGAGGGACGGGTGGGAACTTGGGAGGAGGCTCAGGAAGAGGACGGACACCCGGGAGGGGGCCGGCAGACAGAGTCCAGGGCGGTGATGAAGGAGGGAGGAGCCAGGGAGGAGACAGGAGGGGCTTGGAGCAGGAGGAGCCAAGCAGGACCCAGGCCACAGCCATGACGGCGACCCACGGTGGAGCCGACGGAAGGAGGAGCCATGGAGGAGGAAGGGCCGACGACTCCAGGGGGCCAACGACTGTGCGGAGCAGGTGGCGGAGGAGCCCGAGGCGGAGACGGAGAGCCGATGAGCCAGGGCAACAGGGAGGATCCGGACGGCCAAGGCGGAGCAGATGGCGCTGGCGACCGAGGCGAAGGCGGGGATCCGGACGGACGCGGTGGAGCCGGAGCAACAGAGGACTGAGGAGGAGCTGAGGGGATAAAGGAGCCTGACGGAGCCGGAGGGATGAAGGGACAAGGCGCAGCCAGAGGAATGGAGTCCCGAGGCGCAGGATGGTTGACGGCAGACCAACGGGACGAGGGAGCCCGGCGGAGCTAGTGGACTGCCAGGCCATGGCGGAGAGGAGGGAGTTAGGAGCCAGGCTCAGAGGAAGGCGGGAGGAGAGGGAGCAGGTCAGTCTCCCAGTCTATCAGATCCTCCTCCGCTGTCCCTATACCCAGGTCCATACATAGCCCTCAGCCATGTTGCAGTGGGCGGAGCTCCTCTCCACGTTCTCACTGGCCACGGCATTTTCCCCCGTGGTGGGCGTAGTTGCCGGCTCACACACCTTGACTGACGTCATCAGCAGCTCTGGCTCTGCGGCGATTCTTAGCTCTGTTGCTCCGTGCGGCGATGGCTCGTTGGTCGCGGCGGGTTCCGGCTCTCCGTCAGCGGTGGGCTTGGGCATGCGCTCTGCGCAGCGGGGAGATGGTGGGCTGGGCACTAGGTCCGGAGTGGCGGGGATCCGTGTCTCGCCAGTGTCCACTCCACAAAGGCTGCGAAACTCGG